GACATCAATCAATAAAAATATATTTTTTTAAAAAAAGAGAGAGAGACTCTCCCGGACCGCTTACTGATTTGAGATTAGCTGCTGGGCACCTCCCCTGTGCCATCAGTGAGCGAGACCACAGGAAGTCTGTCCTGACAGAGCCCCGGCGAGCAGGGGAGACACTGATGGTTCACGGGAAGCGCTATGGCAGGGTCCACTGTCCGGCCAGCTGTGTGGCCAAACCTAGCGGGTCACCAGGGGTCCGCTGAGCGGCTGTGCGAGCTGAGGAACTACCTCAGAGCACTCCCTCCTCCCCTGACAACAGTGACACCCCCACACCGAGCCACCTGGGACCACCCGCCCCTCTGCCCAGCAGCCTCTCTGAGCAAAAGAAACCAGGGCCTGGCCCAGGCCCCACCCCATCCCGCGGAGGTTGGCCAGGCCCTGCAGCGACCTCGGCCTCCAGGGCACATCCCTGCACATCCCCTCGCAGCTGCTGGGCGTGTCCAAGTCACCTGCCTACCCCCAGGCCCCGCTTCCAGCCTGCCCCGCCCACTTCCCTTATCTGGGTCTCGGTCCACCTCCCAGTCGGGTGGGCAGTCCACAGGCTGGACCTGCCTCCACAAAGCCAGGACCTGGTGGGGAGATAGACACACACACGCCAAAGAGCCACACGGAATGCTCAGAGGCGAAGTCATGCGGAGCAAAGGAAGACCGTCAACATTCCGAGTAAGACGGGTCCTCCGGCTGGGAAGGGGGATTATTTGGGGGACGAGGGCTTTCACTGTCCGTGTCATCGTTACCACGGTGATGGCTAACACTGGCAGAGTGATGTCTAAGGCCAGTTACTGCTCTAGGAGCCTGTGGGGGGTCGCCTTACTTAATCCTCATAAACGATGAAGGAGGAACATGCCCACTTTACAGTCGGGGAAACTGAGGCGCAGAGCAGTTATGTGATCTGCCCAGGGTCACGTGGCTCGTCTCTGCAGAACCAGAATGCAGACCCAGGCAGAATGGTTCCAGAGCCCACGCTCCCCACCGCTGCTCTGAATGGGCAGAGAAATGCCCACCCCCACGTGGAGGGCCATGCCTCCCCCAAACGTTCTGACAGCCTCCTGCTCCCCATGGCCCAGAGCCACATCACTGCCCCCACCCCCCCACCCCCCGCCTGCCTTTAGGGATCAGGAGGAGCCAGGCTGGGCCTCCATGGGCGGGAGTGTCTCCTTCCCGCAAAGAGAGAAGGAGCTGACAGGACCTCCGCCCGCCTGACTGGCCTCCCTCTCTCCCCAAAGCTCCCCCCACCAGGGGCTCCACAGATGGCGGGGAGGACAGACCTGGTCTACCTCCTTCCTACAGAGTGGGAAACTGAGGCACAGAGAGCAGGAGGGACGTGCCCAAGGCCAGCACGTGCCTGGCTGACCAAGGGGCCTGGGCCCCACAGTGGGCATGGCGTTCCCACCTGTTGCCTCTCAAGCTCAAGGCTGGCCCAGGAAATTCACAGAAAGCTCCACAAGAAGAGAGCGCACCCAAGGAAGCGAAACCAGGGGCTCAAACAACAGGGTGCACGTGCCTGCTCGGAGCAGCTCTATTCTCCGCAGCCAAGCGTGCAGGCCGCGAGTGCCTGTCAGCACACGATGGACACCCCGAGTACGGCGGATGCAGAGGACAGAACACTGATCATCCCTCAAAAGAAACGAAGTGACCGCACACACTACGTGGGTGAACTTGAAAACACACTGAGAGGAAGAAGCCAGGCACACAGACCACAGGCTCCTGATTCCATTTCTACGGGGCATCCCGGGGAGGCGAATGCGTGGAGACAAGATGAGTGGTCGCCTGGGACTGAGAAAGAGGGGCTGGGAGTGACAGCTAATGGGGACATGGCTTCCTTTGGGGGAACGGGAATGTCTGGAACTAGAGAGTGGTGAAGGTCACACACATTGCGAATGTTCTAAATGCCGCCAGTGGCAAATGTTATGCTGTGTGTGTTTCATCACAACAAAGAAGGAAGCGTGGCCATCCCATGTAGCGAGGTGGGCTCCGGGATGGAGATCATGCCAGCACCCCCTGCCACAGAGGTGAACCCCGAGCCTGCAGGCCTGGCCCAGCGCCCGGCGCCCTCGGCATCGCCCTCGTCCTGGATCCCAAACCCTGCGTCAGTGAGAAGAATGGCTGGACTGTCAGGATGAAGGAATTCGCCGCAGGCTCCAAAGCAAAGACTGTCCAGCTTGCAGATTTTAAATGGTTAGTTTGTCC